TTATCGCAGAAAGGCGGGGGTGGGGGGGGAGAAGAGAGAGAGGAACTTCGCAAGCCCGGCCAGGGGGTGGGGAGAGCGAAAGTCCCGCCGTCGCGAGGGGCGCCGCGCTCTCGTCCACAATCCAGGCGCAAAGTTGGCGATCGGAACGCTGGGACTTACAAAATAGAGAGGCGCGATCAAAGGGAGGGGAAAGGGAGTTTTGTGCGTGTGTTGTTGTTGTTGTTGTTGTTTTAAAAAAGTGAAAGTGGGCGCCGGGAGCTCCCTTTGATCCTCCCCCTTCCTCTCTCCCGGCCCGGGCGCGCAGAGTCTAGCGCTCGATGGGCGCCCCGGCCGCGCCGCAGCCACCCGCAGGAGCTGCCCTGCCCTCGCCGGAGGGTGCCATGTTTTGTAAGTAAAAAGTCGCTGGGGCGCTTGCGGAACCCTCTCCCCCTTGGTGGCGGAGGCGGCCAGGGCGCGCACGCGCCCCGAACCCCCTTTTTTCCCTCTCTCTCTCCCTCTCATCTCCTCCTCCCTCCCTCCCCCGGCTATCCCGCAGGCAGTGCTCGCGGGGGTCCTTCTTGCTCCCTCCGGGCGGCTGCCCCCTTTTCGGCCGGGGCAGATGCGATAAGGAGCGGCGGCCGCGGAGGCAGCGGACTCGGGGCCCGGAGGGCGCGCCGCCGCCGGCACCATGTCCATGCTGCCCACCTTTGGCTTCACCCAAGAGCAAGTGGCGTGCGTGTGCGAGGTGCTCCAGCAAGGGGGCAACATCGAGAGGCTGGGCCGCTTCCTGTGGTCCCTGCCGGCTTGCGAGCACCTCCATAAGAACGAGAGCGTCCTGAAGGCCAAGGCCGTGGTGGCTTTCCACCGGGGCAACTTCCGCGAGCTCTACAAGATCTTGGAGAGCCACCAGTTCTCGGCGCACAACCACCCCAAGCTCCAGCAGCTGTGGCTCAAGGCGCACTACATCGAGGCCGAGAAGCTGCGGGGGCGACCCCTAGGGGCCGTCGGCAAGTACCGGGTCCGCCGCAAGTTCCCCTTGCCCCGCTCCATCTGGGACGGCGAGGAGACCAGCTACTGTTTCAAGGAGAAGAGCCGCAGCGTCCTGCGGGAATGGTACGCCCACAACCCTTACCCGTCCCCCCGGGAGAAGCGGGAGCTGGCCGAAGCCACCGGCCTGACCACCACCCAGGTCAGCAACTGGTTCAAGAACCGCAGGCAGCGCGATCGGGCCGCCGAAGCCAAAGAAAGGTACGAGTAAGTACAGCGGCTGCGCCTTTTTCCCCCCTTTCTTTCTTGCATTCTCCCATACCCCGCTCCTTTAGTGTCGGAAAGGTTCGGGGTTCGAGGAGTGCCCCTTTCCTCTTGCCTAGGTTTGCTCGGGAGGAAGTCGGCCGAACTTCGGAGCAAAACGCCTCGAGAACAGAGGCTGCGATTTCAGCCTTGACACAGTATTTAACAAAAGAGGAAGGAAAAGTCTTTTAAAGGGAGAGCACACCGACAAAAAAATCATAGTGATTTACCTTGGACCATGACCTGGTGTTACTTTGGAGTAAACTCGGTCCTCTGAAAAAAGAGTCAGACAAACGCTACCGGAAAGCGGCCGCCTGTGGTTCCAGAAAACATTTTCTGTGTGCAGCCTTCAGCAAAGTGACTTAAGAAAAATCGGTATTTTTGGTGAATTATTTGGTCACGGTCCAAGATAAATCAGTATGATTTTTGTTGGTTAGTTTCGGTTTGGACAGAAGCCTTGTCCTGGAAAATTAGTTAGAAACGAAGTTTAAATGAATAGGAGAAGAGGGCTGGCCACAAACTTCGTTCCTTTTCTCTGCTCAGCTTTCAGTTCTGTGTAACACTTTTGTTCAGCAAATTACTTAAAATCCAAGTTAGCCACTTAGATACATAATTTTAAAAAAGAACAACACCCTATTGCGCAACTGATTTTGCTATTTAGATCAAAGACCCTGCCATACTCCCGGAAAAATCCTTTATCTTTCTGGATAGTATCTAATTTATCTTGAACACCCATCATCTGAAGACTGCAAGGTCGTAATCATCTCTTTGCCCACCCTAATATCTAGCCACACATAATACTTGCCCTAAACAAAAAAAAAAAATCCTATCCATTTACTTATCTAGAAGCAGCCCTGTTGAACACGAGGGGGTCTGCTTCCTTTGCTGAGGCTTGCAGTGCAAGAATGAACCTATCTAGCCACACATAATACTTGCCCTAAAGTTAAACAAATAAAACTAAACTTTTAAGGCTGCAATCCTATCCATGTACTTATCTAGAAGCAGCTCTGTTGAACACGAGGGGGTCTGCTTCCCTTGCTGAGGCTTGCAGTGCAAGAATGAACGGATCCCTAACCAAGCCTGCATCTCTCTGGCTGACAATACTGGCGCCAAGTGACTCTGTTCATTTCAATGGAGCTGGTGAAGCAGCAGGTTAAAGTAGAAGATGGAAAAGTGACTTTGTTCAGCATGGTTGACAGAAACAGCCACCTCTGAGAAGCCTTCAGCTCTTGAAGGAAAGCTCTCTTAAACTTCCCCTAGTGATCATGTTCCTGAAGCCCCTAACAGCACCAATAAAAATTACTATAATTTACTGAACTCGTTTTCAGGAATCCGTGATGAATTTCTCACTTTTCTTTGATCACCCTTGAATTTCCCATAGATGTCAACAAAAAAGAAAGTCAGGGTTTGAGGGTTTTTTTTTTTAAAGTATTGGTCCTAGAATTAAATTCCATCCATTACTATCTTTCAACAGGCCGGCAATTCCCCCCCCCAACACATAATTTCCTGGAAGCAAGTCCCAGGAGTCCAAGTTTATCTTAAAATCTAATACTGTACTGGATGCTGCTTATCTGCCCAGATGCAAGCTTTTTTTAAACAATTAATGAAAATTGGCTTCCCTATAAATAAAAGGCTTGGTGGAACTCCTGGCAGTAATCTGAGCAATAATAACACTACATGTCACAGTTCCATGTTGTCAGGATAAACAGGTCCCATCAATTATTGTTAAATAGTGAACAATGATAAGAGCATCCCTATGTATTTTTGTAACATCAACTCATTTTAAAATATCAGATTGTATTGGTGTTCTTCCTCTCCTGAAGTTTTTGTCTGATATGGAGAGCATGGATTTTTTTTTAAACCACAGAACTGGGATATATTGACTTTTATAAGCCTATGCTGGAATCAATGTGTCATGGACTGTGATAAACAGGTAATTTGAAGACTGCAGTATGATTCCCAGTTCCTGATGTGTTACTCCAGTTTATGGGCCTTACCTCAATTGCCTGGGCCTTATATTTGGAAATAGACATAGGCTGGCACGTCACTCCAGAATAATGCTGTGGTTTAAACAGTTATACCTAAAGTTTTATCCAATTAATTTTTGTTGATCAGCAAGACCCCAGGAGAACCATCAGCATCCTCTTCTGTTTTTGAGGAGGAACGGTGACCCTAATTTATGCAATCATGTACATGTCTTCTCAGGAGTAGTCCTGTTACATCCCCTAATTTATGCAATCATGTACATGTCTTTCATGAGTAGTCTTGTTACATCCACTACACACACACAAACGCACACACACCTAAGAATGACTGATTATTTATAATTACTTAAATGTAAATAGGGCTTTCGCCCAAGTATTCCCAAAGAGGCAGTCAGTGTGGTGTAGTGGATAGAAGGGCAGATTAGGATTTATGAAGCCTGGGTTCAAATCCCCACCAGGCCATGGGGGTCAATGGTATATCCATTCCTTAAATATCTCACACTACTGTTGTTGACATAAATCAGAGGCCACTTAACAGGACACACACACAGCCCCAATGGCGTAGAAGAGTGTAGCTAAACAAAGTTCTGTTCAAACCAAATTACCTGTTTCCCAAGTGTATATAGGTACTAGGTTTTTTCAGACTCTGAGAGGGTGAAACAGAAAGTCTTTGCTCAAACTCTGTAGGCTTGAAAGCAGTGGAGAAAGCTCTTCAAGGCAAGATGACATCACAGCCATGGATCACACAACCACTAGGTCCCTCAGTCCCAGGAAGATAACCCCACCTCTGCTTTTTTTTCTGTGTTATGCCCTAACTAAGTGCATCAGAGGCCTCCTGTTGGAGACAGCCTTGAACAGGCCAGCATTCACAATAGCGCTGAGGCAGCTAGAAGGTTAAGGGTGTAAAGTGTATTTTGACTCAACTATCCATCTGCACAGACAAAAATTACTCTGGAGTAAGTGGGTGGCAGTCTGGAGCTTCAGGACATCCTGCTACAACTGTGGAAATACTACGACTTTGTTCTGATTACCTATTCCTCAAGCTTGTTTGTTCGGGAAGAAGTTCCTCCAAAGCAGATGTACCTCTAAGGAAATCACTAAAGCAGTTTGTGGAGTTACCTGAATTCACTTACTTAGCTTTACTTACAGGGCACTTGGGAAAAGAGGGAGGGTAGGACTGGACGGAAAATAATTTGCCAACTGGCCTGAAAACAGAATATGGGAAAGTTCTTTTCTTCTTCTTCTAAAGTTTCTTTTTTGGA